CGTCGCACTCGCACATGCAAGCAGCAGGCACCACGGCCGCGCGTAGCGCGGACGACCCGCGGACCGCAGTGTCTCACTACTCAGCCTGCCCTTCGCTCCAGTCATCAGAGGCCGCAGCGCGGACCTTGAACCACAACTTGCAAGTGGTCGGCAGCATGCCGATGATGCGGCCCCCCGCTGGACTTCGGTAGGGCAGCGCCGATCACGGTCGACACCTGCCACGGCCATGCGCCCTGCGCCTCGCAATCGTTGAGGGGGCCTGCCAGCTCCCCCAGCGCCTCGGCAGTAAAGCGCATCAGGTCGAACGGGCCGAAGTTGTCCACGCCCAGGGTCTTCCCCGACACCATGGACCGAAGAGCCTCGCCCATCTGCTCGGCGCTGACCAGGTCGAGTAACTCCTCGCGCGCCTGCGCCAAGGCGCCCTGCAAAGCTGTCCGCACCCCGTCCTCGGAGTAGCGCTGGTCGCTTCAACACTTCCGCTGCCAGAGTTCCGACTTCGTCTGCATGGCGACGGACGGGCTCGCAGCCGCGAGCGAGGGTTCGCCAAGAATGAGTAGCTAAAGCTGCTCGGCGCTTGACCCTGTCACATGGCGATGAGCGCTGCCAGGCTTGGTCCGCACAGTGCCCGTCGCCCACTTGATTAAGCCGTTCCTGAATTGCTGCGTCCACCGCCAGAGCACGCAACTGGCCGCATCTCCGATTCCTGCGCGGGCGCCGCGGCGACCTAACAGGGGGAGGAGGAGGATGAGGAGGAGGAGGAGGAGGAGGAGGAGGAGGAGGAGGAGGGACGCGCAGCCATGGCGCACCCGATCCGTACGGGAGCGCGTGGCTTACTACGCGGGGGGCCTGGGCACCGCTGAGGAGCCCAGTACCCTCCCGGCCTTGAGGATGATGGCGACGACCTCGCAGCACAACGGACAAGGAGGCGCCGACGTGGAACACGCAGGCGGCTATCAGGAGCCGCTGGCAGCGAAGGAAAGGACGACGCCCTTCGCCAGCGTCTTGTCGCCCTCCGAGGGCGTGTCGGCCTGGGCCTGCAGCGTTGCCAGAAAGGCGACCCGGTTTCGAGCGGGGACCCCGAGCTTCGTCAGCAGGACCTCCACCGCGTCCGCCGATGTCGCCACCCCAAGCTCCACGTCCACGACCTGCCGCGGCTGCGAGGCACGCGGCGGCAGCTCGTCCGTCAGACTCGAAACTCGACCCAATGGGCACGCCGTCGACCTCGACGGCGTGCTGCCCAGCGGCCCGCGCAGCCGCACGCCGCGCCGCAAAGCGCCGGCGGCGGCGGCGCCTCTCCAGCTTCGCCTCCGAAGCGACGCGTGGCGGCGTCTCCTCCTGCACCCCAGCGGGCGCCTCCGCGCCAGCAGCGGCGGGCGCAGCCAGCGGTGCCACGGCCGCGCAGGCGACAGTGAAGGGGCCCTGGGACACACAAATAAATACACACAAATAAAACACTTCCCCATATTTTCGCATATGTTCTGGGTTTTTGCCTTCCCCCCCACTTCCCATATTTTCCCATATTTTCCTGGGGATCGTCGATTAATTGTGTCTGTGTGTTTTTTCCCCTCTTGAGACAGTGGCGATCGCCGACCGCGACACCACCGCAACGGTGCGGCGCGGCGCCTGGGCGAGGGCCGCGGCGCGGACCTGCGCCTCGACGAGGTGGGCGGCAGCAGCAGCCGCGAGGACCCCTCTTAGCTCCGCCCGCGGAGGCCATCCAGACGACGGCCGAGGCGATGGGCATTTTTGCTGCTTGAACCAAAATGAAGAGCGGAGGAGAAGAAGGAGGAGGAGGAGGAGGAGGAGGAGGAGGAGGAGGAGGAGGGGGAGGAGGAGGAGGAGGAGGAGGAGGAGGAAGAGGAGGAGGAGGCACTTTTTTCGTGACGCCGGCCCCCAGAATCGCGACCCCCTGTCCAGGGCCGGATTTTCAGCCCGAGGCTGTTTTGACGGTCCCAGGGCACCGAGGCCAGGGCACGGAGGCGACCCCCGGGGGCCGAAAACGCAGGAAGACCTGCCTCCATGACTTGCTGTGCGACTCTCGGATCTGAGGAGAGACGGAGTCCCCGGATCTGAGGGGAGCGGGGCCTGACAACTGCGGCCTGCGGTTATTTCGTCCCGGAACGTCTCTTGATGATCCCGGAGCCCAGGACCAGGAAGGGCCCCCAAACGCCGAACACACATAGGAGCCTCCGTCTTGACCAGTATTCAAGGCGATGCAAGTCCCGTCAGGTCCAGGCAACGCAGCAAAAACCGGGACGACCCGTTCTTCGTTCTCCCTGGAAACCGCTTCCCGGACCAGGGCCCGCAAACATCGAGCCAGCTGGATGAAGATCAAACCCGAGAGAAGCGGTCGAAGGCCCGTGGTGCCGACATCACAGACACAGATGCAACGCCGGCGGAGAGTGGGATGCAGCCAGGGGGTCCGAACTGGATGGGCCCCGAGAAAATCGGTCAAGGAGGGTCGACTACTCCAGATTTCGTAATCAAGGGAGGGGGGTCTCATTTCGGGGGGGGGTCTCTTCCAGGCTATCCTGGAGGGCCTGGGGGGTCTGGGGACGATGCTTTGGAGGGTTCTCCCACGGGGGAGGTCTGAAATGGCTTGTCTTGGAGGGTCCAGACCCCCTCCCTTTTATTACGAAATCTGGAGTACACGCAAGAGCGACCCTGGGCAAAGGTGACCCTCAGGTGCGCGGCGTTTGGGGGGACCGCGGGGGGACCCAGAAACACGAGCGCGCCGGACGCCACTGCCGCATCGCGGTGCGCGACCGGGGCGGACCCCAGTGGGCCCGCACCCAAAGAGGTCACTTTGGCGAAAGGTCAGGCTTACGGCTCATCGAGACGGGGGGGGTGCGGACAACTCTGTTCGCAGTCTTCCCGCTTTTCACTGCCGATCCGCTCTTGGCGGTCCCAGTGGGGCCCGAGAAGGCGGCCACCAGAGGCCGCGCCAGACTGACAACCCTCCCGAACCCAGAACATCAAGGTTAGGTCGGGCATGTCCTCCTGCAGGCGGCTTTTGGAACTCAAAAATCAGAGCATTGGCAAAAGCAGTGACACATACTCGAATCATCATCCCCATGCTGCTTTTTCCTATTCTCGACTGTTCTTCCTGTATACGGACACGCCCGACTTAACATCAAACCTTCTCCCCCCCTTCCTGCTCGCCGGAACAATGCTGAGCCACCTCAGACCCCAAGCCGGCTCCAAGAAGAGAGGGTCTGGGCATGTCGGCGCCGCGCGCACAGGGGTATGGGAGAGGGGAGGAGGCTTCTCAGAAGGATGCTGCTTCTCAGAAGGTGCAGGCATTATCTGTAGATGTAAGGCCCGCGCCTTCTTAGAACCATGTGTGCTTTCAAGAATAAGACGAAGTCAAGACGAGGATCACATCGGGTGAGGATGAACCAAGAATCTCTGAGATCCGGCGGCTCTGGAGATTGTCTCGGGGGCCGCGGCCCTCTCAGAGCGCTCTGGAAGGCTCTGGGAGAGTTCCAGAATGCTCTGGAACGGATTTGTCCTCGCCCTAGCCCTATCCGACAGAAACTTTCCCCCCTTCCCCTACACGCCGTCCGAAATAAGTAGCTGACAGCATGCAGCGGGACGGCGGCGAAAGTAGATCGGGTTCAGGCCCTCCCAGAGAATAACACAACGCAACAAAAGCATATCGGTTCTTGAAATAGGACGGCGCTTGAAGTAGATTGGGATCTGGGAGTCCAGAAATACTGACTTTCAACGACTGGCGTGTACCCTCAGGCCGGGCATGGCTCTCTACATGCGGATTTTGGACAAAACATAACCCTGTGACGTACCCAACCCTTTCTATACATGTGGCGATTCTACTCAGGACCGCTCAATGCTGACTGGCATTCTGAAGGACCTGCAGTGCGCAGAAAGAGCACCCAACAATGCTTTCACCAGAGCGCAGCAAGAAGTCCCGTGGTGATCCGCGTATGACGTACCTCCGCTGGGCCTCCCAGGAGCCCACGAAAGTGGCGACAATTGCGCAGATCGCAAGCCCCCCAGGGGGCGGCGAGGTACCGAGGTGATCCGCGTGGGACCCACCTCCGCTGGGCCTCCGAGGAGCCCACGAAAGTGGCGACAATTGCGCAGATCGCAAGCCCCCCGGAGGGCGGCGAGGTACCGAGGTGATCCGCGTGGGACCCACCTCCGCTGGGCCTCCCAGGAGCCCACGAAAGTGGCGACAATTGCGCAGATCACAAGCCCCCAAAAGGGGCGTCGAGGTACCGAGGTGATCCGCGTGGGACCCACCTCCGTTGGGCCTCCCAGGAGCCCACGAAAGTGGCGACAGTTGCGCAGATCGCAAGCCCCCACAAGGGGGCGGCGAGGTACCGAGGTGATCCGCGTGGGACCCACCTCCGCTGGGCCTCCCAGGAGCCCACGAAAGTGGCGACAATTGCGCAGATCGCAAGCCCCCACAAGGGGGCGGCGAGGTACCGAGGTGATCCGCGTGGGACTCACCTCCGCTGGGCCTCCCAGGAGCCCACGAAAGTGGCGACAATTGCGCAGATCGCAAGCCCCCACAAGGGGGCGGCGAGGTACCGAGGTGATCCGCGTGGGACTCACCTCCGCTGGGCCTCCCAGGAGCCCACGAAAGTGGCGACAGTTGCGCAGATCGCAGCCCGACGGCACGAGGGAGGAGGAGAGGGGAACACCGGAAACAGGAGAGGAGGAGGAGGAGGGGAGGAGAGGGGAGGTGAATGACGGAAGGAAGGAAGGACGGGGCGACCGGACTGCTCTATTCAAAACGAGTACCCAACAGGAGGGTTGGGAATCAACAGTACCCCAAACATGCTCAACTAATATATTTAAAAAACAATCACAGAAAAAAAAAAACGTCCCCATCCTATGTTTGACTACTTTTGAAGATTCTTCCTGCAGAGGGACAGGCCCGACTTGAATCTGGGAGTCCAGAAATAGCTACTCTCAACGACTGGCGTACACCCCCTGTGCGCGTGGCCGAGAGGAGCAAGCGGGAGCGGGCGGCG